CTGTCACAGTAACACGACCTGGACATTTCATTTGTAATCAACTGACCTCATCCTGAACACTAAACTTGTCCATCCTTTGTCATACCTTACCCTTCGACTCTAGGAAAATACACATGATAGACTATTGTACAATAACAAGTGTATGTTCAATGATCCAAATCATGATGGAGGTATTGTGAGATGTAGAAATATACCGTCGGTGTAGGTGTATGTGAAAATGTTACTCATTTCATCGTGAATGAAGAAAAGGATCAAACGAGTACATCGTTTATTTGTTGAAGGTAGATTGTCGAAACATTTGTATCAAGGAAACGCTTCCTTGTTTTCTATTTATGAAAGAGCGAGAGTGGCATTTCGAAAATCGTTACAATACAAAGATGGCATATTTCAGTTGGATTGGCAAAACATTATGATATTTGCGTTGATATTGTGAGGCTTCTTGTCGACAACAGTTCAACGTATCGCTGAATGTGAAGTCATCTTCCATGAATACATGAGCTCCACACATATCAACCTATTTCTGTTGTTCTCAACATTTTACACACTTAAGGCTGTCGAGAACAAGCACAATCAGATTTCAGACGAACAAATTATGTTTACTAGTTGACAGCTTGCCAAAGAATATGTGAAGTGAGAAATACAACAGTCGAACAACTGTCCTCGAGGGTCTCTTCATGTTACGTACAGGAGGTGTTTCTCTATATTTATTTGACTTTTGCAGACAAAATGCAAGAATGAAATAATAATTAGAGCAGTTGGGATGGTAAAGTGCGAATATAATGCAGGTGAAGATTGTTAGCCAGAATATTGACGAGAAATAATTTTGACGGTTAATAAATACAGAAATGATTCAAAATATTAAGCTTACCGCTGGAGAAACAATCTGCAATCTCTAGGAAAGATAGAAGGACGCTTGTATATTCAGCCTCTCAGGTCAAGTTTAATTAGCAAATTTCAGCGTTAATAATTGAAGTCATCAGTGAGAAAGCATGTCATCAATAGTGAGTGTATCACGAAACTTAAGATTTCAGATTTATCAAAAGCAAATACAATGCAGTGAAAACATGTCGTGGATACAATTACATTTTAACGGAAAATATTATTAAAACGCACAAGTATAAAGATTCTCTTTCCAAATGTATTCGTACGCAGTTTTCAGGCAGTCTGTATCTGAAATACATCGTCCATAATTGCAATAAACTCGGCTTGCTGCTTACATGTTTCTATTTCGCATTGTAAGCTTGCATATCGACTGAGAATCTTGTCTAGGAAACGACAAAAGCTAAAGCACAGTGGTTAGGACCCTCGCCCACCATGCACATGATCCGAGGTTCGATACCCTGCCGACGAAGCACACCTGATATCGATGGTCGGCCTGCAAATTTTGGGCTACCGATATCCATGCTGAAAATTCCACAATTCAAGGCACATTCTCTCAGCGTTTAAACATTGTCAAAAATAAGGCATCATGTTTTACCTACTCTGGCATCACTCATCACTGAAAATTCTCCACGTATATTATATGAGGGGAGAGGAGAATATTTTGTATGAATTGTCAAAGAGGAAGTAAGATCTCTGATTGCCAGTGATTAACGCACACTGGAAATAATTTCTTCGAAGACTTTTCAAAGAACTTCAGTGAAGCCATTCAGCATTCTTCGGTAGTATGTTTGCTGCATTGTTTCCGTGACAATCATTCTCCACACTGTCCTGAATGATACTATAGCAAATTTCAAGGCATCGAAGAGGATCATGACTGCAACGAACATTGTAAGACCTTCGTCATTCTTGCACTACTGTCATGATAGATTCTCAAGTCAATTGATGACCTCAAATAATACGCAATGAAAATGTGCTTACTATCTATGATGTCCTGTTTACTCTACAGTTCACCTTGGGTTGAAAAGAACCAATCATATTTGCACCCAACGATGCGCCTCGAAATGAAATAAAGAACTGTAATAAGACGACAATTATTATACAGCGAATACGTTTCAGAATACTGAAGATTATTAGAAAACAATTTCTCCACTTGAAATGCATGAAACGCCTCTCGGGCGCTTTCTGTATGCAATTGCATTACAGAAACACATCATCTCCAAATGCGTATTCAGGCAATTTAAATCTGAGGACATTTTACACTGACACATTGTCCGCACGGGAGAACGCATCTCTGTGCAACTGTTAACATGAACGGTTGCTGATTCGGAATCAAGATAGGTAGATCTTTTGAAAAAGTGCTAACCTGCATTTATGGCTGCAAATGCTAACAGTGCGAATAAATCTAGGACTTACTGCATCACCTTCAGCTTACTGTACCCTATTGGTCATGGCTTGCCTTGTGAATGCTTGATCAGGTTGAAGGTGAAGCAGTTACTCACTGAAGAAAATATTACGAAGTGGTCGTTCTGTGTCACAAAAAAGGCAGAAGCTAGAATCCATGGGAATTGGATCAGATCCAAGGGAGCTAATGCTCTATGAGTTCGCCCTGTAACTCGAATCCTAGTAGGTGCGGACTGATGAAGAGCGACAAGCGAGGGCGAAACAGGTGGTAAGCACTTCCAAGTCTTACAATGTTCCCTTAACTGATGGCAAGTCACGATGAAATTCTCCAACCAATAACTTATCTGCGATCACCTTTCAATAACTGAATTTCAGTATTATTTTGGGTGATCAAGTGTATATCATCTCACTTGTGCTGACGATGTCAGGTTGAATAAGACATCACTGGGAAGTTCATCAATTATCTGGTGACCATCACGAATTCAAAGACATTTAGATAGTTGACAGGCGAAAGTTTGTGGCGCTTGGGCATCATTGAAAAAGTTTGCTTCATTTCAGGAGTACGCAAAATGTCATCATTTTTCTCTTTTGACTCAATCATTTCATGTCTGTCCTCGTTCAGTTCAGGTGTCTCATGCTTTTTAGAAAACAAAGTGTATTCTTCGAAGACACAGTATTCCTTCCTAATTTTCTTCGTCTCCATCTGATTTAGCCGTGTAAGAAGTGGGTCATTGTCATCAAAGAGATCATATTGACGTGTCGATATGCAAAGGAGATGCAGTGAAATTGATGTAGTGTTTTCTGAGCTGGACGGTTTACTTTAAAATGCTCTGTTGCCCAACCAGGCTACAACTCCAGCAAACACATCAATTTATTGAAATGAGACACCTCTCCTGCTGAACATCAACGTGACTTGTGAACCTAATTCGAAGGTTGGTAAATGAATAATATGTCGTAATAAACGTGTTTGGCGTTTACCATCGTGGTCAAGGGAAAGTATCTGGCTATGTAGACTAGGTGATTCCAAAATGCTGAATTAATTTACCTCCACATTCAGTCTACAGAGTACCAGTTGACTACTGAAAGGCAACTTTTATTTTTGTTAAATTTTTTTGATTACAGCTTGATTCCACACTGTAGTTTTGGTACAAGTATGCGATTTTCAGCATGGATATCGGTAGCTCAAATTTTGCAGGCCGACCATAGATATCAGGTGTGCGTCGGCAGGAGATTGAACCCCGGACCTTGTGCATGGTGGGCGAAAATCTTAACCACTGTGCCACGCCACTAAACCGTTTGAATATTGAAAGCTGGCGAATGCATTCGTAAGACAGAAATTGAATAAATGTCTCCAAATGTGTAGCAGTTTAAATGAAACCAACAACGAGGATACTACGGGTATCAACACTGCGATTTCATGAAACGGTAAGCTCCGCATAATCTTGATTGTGTAACGAGATGTGTTTCGTATTGTTTCCCCTCAATCCCTCTGAAATGTTGCACAACACTGTTTTGATGGAAAGGCTATCGGGATTGGGAATAGCTATTGTCACCACAGTCAGAAATATTGGCATCATATCTGGATCACACCACTCATCCATCAGTAACGTCAAGTGAATTACGAACGTAGCATCAGGTGCATTGATCATCACCGACGGCTCTCAACGCTCACCACCACACACTAGAGCCTTTCAACGGTAGACCATGTAGGTTGAAGTGGGATTGTCAAGGACTGTGAAGAATTAACGAGATGTAAACGGAGGCCGTCATGTTCTCCTTACGTAGTTGGTTAGATAAAATATCCTTGAGCTAATTACATGAGTGTGAGAATAGCAGGAGTCATTAGACAAAATAAGAGCGATTTATAGGTCACAATAATAAATAAAGAAGACGATTGTTTTGTTCAAATCACCGCTCTCACTCACTTCTTCAAACCCGCCACTTGTAAAATTTATAAAGATGAGAGGAGATAAGACAGAGAGAAGGAGAGGAAGGCCATTTCATCCGGAAACGAGACTTCGGTTTATCGTCTGAATGCGCACCAGACAGACACCGAGCGGAGGTGTTTATGAGTGGAATTATAAATACGAAGCTGGAGACAGACATTACTCCAAAAGAAGCAGGTTTACTATCAATGCAGTGTTTCAAGTTAGGTGTTAATCACGTAATCGATGGACCTGACAGGTTTACAGTGAATCAATTCGACCATATCGAAGAAATGAACGCATCACTAGTTTGTTGTTTACACTTATCCGTTTGAATGGAGATGAATCTCCTGAATGACTTATGCTGACGTAAATGGTGTGACAGATGTGTGCACTTCTGTTGACAACATTGAAGATAGGAACTTAACAAATACAACTGACATCTTCGGATGTCTTGTCACAGTTTGTCAATGTAACTCTCATTGAAACGTATGGCGGTGCTTCAATTTATTGCTAATGATTATGTGTTTAGAGAAATAAAAAGTGCTGTGACGGAATCTCCTCGCTTGGTCTGGAATCCACTGAAATCTATTCAGTAAGAAAATGGTAGTGTGGTGAGAGCAGGCTGCTAGCCGATTGGTTGGCACTAATCTACGTTAAGGTCTAGGTCACTAATATGGGCCGTGAGAAAATATGAACAAGCATGAGTAAACAACCAATCAGAAGCCTGCGTTTGTCTACCTAAACAACCAATCAGATGACTGCGCTTGTCTATAATAATGTAGTTGAAAGATGTATAAATACGTGTTGATTTTCATAATAAAACGATCTGTTGCCTGGCCCTTGTCTTCTGTTGTTACATTTGGTGTCGCTGCCTACCGACAAATGGAAAGCCTATGCCCTGCTGTTTTCGATGGAGACATATGGATCTTCGGGCAGGACTTCAAGGCTTCTGCGCAGTTGAGTGGCGTTCAAGATCTGTCAGCGATGGAGCTGCTACTTGGGACGCTGCTGGGAGGTCGGGTGAAAGCAGCATATGAAAGTGTGAGCCGAAGTATGGACGAATGTTCGACAGGGTCAGGCAAACAGTTTCCAAAGTGGGAAGGACCATATATGGTCACTTCGAGATGGGGTTACGCAGACACAGTCGCAATGGCGAACAATGAGAGGCGCGTGAACGTCAGCGAGCTCCAGAAATGGATACAGCGAGACAAGCCAACGATGACGCCTGCACCAAGTAGATCAAGCCGACTTCAGTCGCACGTATTTGACGGGGGGACGAGTGTGGTGAGAGCAGGCTGCTAGCCGATTGGTTGGCACTAATCTACGTTAAGGTCTAGGTCACTAATATGGGCCGTGAGAAAATATGAACAAGCATGAGTAAACAACCAATCAGAAGCCTGCGTTTGTCTACCTAAACAACCAATCAGATGACTGCGCTTGTCTATAATAATGTAGTTGAAAGATGTATAAATACGTGTTGATTTTCATAATAAAACGATCTGTTGCCTGGCCCTTGTCTTCTGTTGTTACAGTAGTTCTACAAATTTCATAGAGGAACGTATATATGAAAGTACCGAAGAGTCAGAAAGCGTTCAAAATCACCACATTCATCCAATGTGATTATCAGTGAATAACATACCGTCATCTCATATGTATATTCAACTACTTCCTACTCTTCCTCAACCAGTAAACTTCACATCTTTCCTCAGCGCCTTCTGATCATCATTATAACTATTTTTCACATTTCGAGTGCCAATATCTGATCGCCTGTCAGCATATGACCAATATATTTCATCATAACCGTTTTCCAATGAACTTAGGTTCACAGCAACATAACTGATTCCTGCTGAAAATATGTCAAAATGTGTTGAGCGTTGAACTGCAAGAGAGAAAATATCCAGCTTCACTGATACATTATTATCACTGTTTCTTTTAATTCCTCAAGGAATATAAGGCTTCAGCCAAACGTCCCCATTGCGTTCGGTTCTTTGCCAACATTTTCATCTGGCTCCACGTCTGACCACATGCCTTCATGTCCTCTTCATATCACCTGCTTCGTGTCACCCTTCCGTCACACTGACGACCATTTCTCCGGTTCTCATTCAGCGACCACTCGAGTGATGGCCTGCATTTCGTGTGATATCACTTGATGATGGTTTGTTTTCTCAGAGTATGGCGAGCCAATCCACCTCTATTTCTTCCTGCAGATTTGTTGCACAATCGGTTCCTACTGGGTTGGTTCGCTCATTGCCTGAGATCACCCAATACTACTGATTGTTTATATCTGGCCATCTCTTCTTGAGCAATAATAAGCGAAGACAGCTGTTGAAGGAGGTCTGTAGCTTATTTGAGGTGCTCTTTGTGACGAGAGGTGAAGTCTGTGGTCATAAAGTAGCACTGACTTCACATTAGAGTTGGAAATACAGATCTTGTTTTTAATTTTGAGGAGTGGTTTTGACCTCGACATAAACTTGAAAGAAATGAAAGTTTGCCCTGCTTTCCCGATCCTCGCTGCTTTGATATCCTCGTTTGTTCCGCTCGACTGTTTTCTTTTTCCTTCAGTTTCTTCATTCGAACATAGGGCTCAAAGTTATTGGCTTGAAGTTTCTGTAGCGGTGTTTATTTTACAGGATGGATTGCTAACCTCATGTTCAACCTTGCCTCTTTACTAGTATTATTTCTGGCTTAGCTAGGTAAAGGAGTGCGTCTATGGCCGGGAATTGAACCCCGGACATTGTGCATGGTCGGTGAGAATCCTAACCGCTCTGCCACTGTCCCACTGTAGTTACAACAAAAGTTTCCATCTAGGGAGATACATAGGTAGGCAGGTAGTTGAACGAGGTTGCTACTCTCAGATTTCGCCGCCCGTCGCTGCCTGTTGCAGTACACAGTCTACTGCCCACCTCGAAGGGTCCAGTGAGTTTCCTGTTGTGGATTGCTTGGCATGCTGTACATTCAGCGTCACTTCTTAGTAGCAATGTCATCAACAACAGCGAAGCCTCTCACCTCCAGGTTAATGGCCACCAGATTCCAATCAAAAGGAAGCAAAGTGTCAGTTATACATTGCTATGCGTCAAAATACAACGCAGAACTAAAAAATAAACTGGAGTTCTACAGAAAACTATAGGCAACAATGAACGATACTCCAGTCGGTGACATGAACGCCAAACTGGGAGCAGACAACACAGGAAGAGAAGTCATTATTGGTAGAGAAGCTCTCGGAGGGATGAATGAAAACGGAGAACTCGTCGATGACTTCTGCACCAACACAAACAACTTGCTGAATAACCATTGTGAGAATGAACGCTCAGCAATCACCGTCGATTCTCCCTGCACATCTCATTTTCGACGTGTTTGTGGAAGCGAATATGGATGTAGTGCAGATTGGCGATTGTTCACTCAAACACATAAGATTTGTCCTATGTGACCACCTGATTACCTGTGTGGATGATAACCACCTGATGACTGAAGATATCGCAAACTGTTTTAATTCTACGCAATATCACATAGGGTGAGAATTTCCAGTGAAACACTGTGATGATTGCATGGTGCTTCCTGAAATCATCTCATTATTGCGTGTGATTCAACTGACAGATACTTATCAATTGTCATGGCTTCATCGCACCCACACTTCACATCCACAACCAGTCAATTCACGAGTTGTGACTGATTTCAAGGTAAACATGAGACAGCAAGAAGCTGAGGTAGAGAGCTGACTGCCATTTCAAGCTGTGTTCAATGATGATCCGCAGTGTTGCAATTCGATCGATGCATGACTTCTCACTCCTGAATCCAACCTGTTCTGGTTGCAGTTGTAATAATAATAATAACAGCTTTATTCCAAACAGTATTTGTGGTACAGGTATGGAATTTTCAGCGTGCATTACAGTATATTGCATCTAATTACCTCATAAACTTTATAGGATTTTAAAATCAAAAAGCAACACCCAAAAGAAGATAAAGAAAAAGAAAAAGATAACAGCGTTGCGTTTACATTTCAAACAATCCACCACAGGATATGAAGTGTAAAATGGGTGTATAACAGAAGATAAGAACAACAGTGTAATAGTAACAAAGAAAGGAAAACAGAAACTAATGGGACTATTTGTTAGAGTGACGCAGTGGGTTGATCGTGTCCTACCTAACGGATTTCTCATCACATAACAGCTGTGCCAGATATGGTATTGTGGAGTTTTGTACTTGGTAGTCATAACATATAGCCTCCTATAGCTGATTCTAGTTCTACCAGATGAAATGCAGGGAGAGAGCTGCGTATAGAGAGGATGCTCGGGGTCTGACAATATTGTATTCGCTAGTTTTTTACATGGAATTATATGTCTATCCAGAATTGTGTTAACCAGTGAGTTTAACGATATTCCACTTGCCCTACTAACGGCTTTTAGTGCCTGCCCTTCTCAGCAAAGCAAAGTCTTTCTTAAGTAGTCCAGGAAAGATTGATGGGGAGCAGTAAAGGGGGATGGGTAGAATACAAGAGTTGACAAACTGAGAAAGCAAAGACTGCTTTATGCCAGACTGCCTAAATTTCCTGATGTAGAACGTGAAGCGAATCATCTTTCTAGTAACTAGCAAGATGTGGGAGGACCAGGAAAGATCGGTGGAAAGACCCAACCCAAGGTGCTTTAAATTGGATGTATTTTCAACCTCTATTTCATCAATATAGTGGGGCCATGTGAGCTAACTAGTTCTTGTAGGTCACGTTTACGTCTGAAAGTGAAATTGACTACCTGACATTTAGACGGATTCAGCTCAAGACCATTTGAAGAGGACCACTGACTAGTTTCCGATAGAAAGTTATTTAAATTGGAACAATCTGACTGAGAGTTGACAGGCATAGAAACAGAGAGGTCATCAGCATACTTGACAAAATGGGCTACATCATAATTGGGCAAGTCATGTAAGAAAAAAGAAAACAGAAAAGGAGAAAGAACAGCACATTGAGGAACACCAGCTAAAGTAAGTGAGGTAGTGGAGGACTTTCCATTGTAGACGGTATACTGCTTCCTATCAGAAAAATAGGAATGCAACCACTTATTTGTCCAGCTCTCAGCTTGTGTTTCAGCAAGCTTACTTAGCAAGAGAGACCTAGGAACAGAGTCAAATGCAGATGTGTAATCAAGGAAAGCACAGCGAACGTATTTAGCTCCTTTATCTAAACTAGAGACCATACTATGATTTAGGACAACAGCGGCATCTAACGTACACCTACTATGTTAATAGGCAAACTGGTTGAGGTCATTGAAAGGTTTTAAAGAGGGTTCAAGATTAAGTAAAATAAGTCTTTCCATAACTTTCAAAAAAGGTGAGGCAATAGCAATGGGTCTAAACTTAACATTAGGTCTACTTGTTGATTTAGGCACTGGAAGAATCTTGATATTTTCCATGATTCAGGTATAATACTTTTGGAAAACGATTCGTTGAAAATGTCAGTTAAAGGGGAACACAAGATGTCAGCACACTTCTTGAGGATAACAGCAGGAACACCATCAGGACCAAGGGACTGAGTAGGCTTGAGAGATTGAAGACACCTGAGGAAATCATTCGTATTAAAGCATGAGAAGCAGTCATTATTTACACTATTTGAGTAGGGAATCATAATATCTGCAGGGATATATATGAAGGATTTATTAAGCATGTCAACATCTACACAAGTATCATTCATTATTTGCTTACCACCTGTGATTTCCTTTAATAACTTCCACATATTAGATTGGGATTTACATGAAAGAAACTTCTGGTTATAGAGAGCATTCAATCCTTGTAATTCAGCTTTAATCAAAGTGTCTATTCTCTTAACACCAGATTTATTTTCATTTTGAACAAGCTCTCTTTTTCGCGACAAAGCTTTTTGAGTTGAGAAGAGGCGAAGCGGTCGAATTTTCAGAAGGTTGTCTCTTTTGGACAAAACCATCAAGACAGAAATTCAGATAATGTGTTATGTTAGTAATTTTGTTATCAAGAGCTTCTTTGGTAAATAAGTCCCAGTTTGTGTCTTTTAACATGGTCCTTAGATTCAGTATGTTGTCATGAGAATAACATATGTGTTGTGTTTTCTTTCCAAGGTGTCAGGAGACCCTTGTGTGCTGCTTTCAATATACTTTGAGCAATATTCTTATGATACAGTGACCAGAATTAAGTAGCAGGGCTCTTTTCCGAGCTTCAAATATTCCTGAGTCATTCGTAAACACAAGATCAAGAGTATTATCCAGCCTAGTCGAGAGGTTAACAATGTGAAATTAGGAAGCTGGGATCACTAGAATTAAAATCTCCAGTAACTATGGCGAAGGAATTTCCGAAGGAGGTGACAGCAAGGGAGGTAAATTCATCCTCAAATAAAGACAGTTCTGTGCAATTGCATCCAGGAGCAATATAAGTGTTCGAGATGTATATGTAGTTATATTTTGACAAATGTTTAGGTCGACACTTAACAGTTAGGCAGTCAATATTGTCACTAGAGAATTTGAAACATACATTATTAGATGTACACCATT